AAGGGGTCCAGATGCGTGGTTCTGGCTCGGGGTCTCTCACGAGGTTCTGGTCACAGGCGGGCTGGGGCTGCCTGGTCCGAGGGGCTCAGCTGGGGCCCGAGGACCCGCTCCCAGGCGGCCAGCCGGGGCTGCTGGTGGGAGGCTCGGGCCTCTGCACGGCGCTGTCTGAGCACCATCAGGTCACAGGGGTGAGGACGCGGAGCCAGCGACCCCAGAGAGCGCCAGGCAGACACCTGTATCTTTTGTGACCCAAGGGTGTGGATAGCAAGACCCTGGGGCTGCTGAGTGCCGGCGAGGAGGCCACCCCCAGAAGACCGTCTGTTGACCGGAGACACACCAGGGCGAAGCAACACGACCGGGGAAGGTCGGCATCCCTTCCGCTCCTCGCGGACCCTCTCGCTGCTTCCAGGTGATCCGGCTGGGGGCGGGGCAGCCACGTAGCCCAGGCCTGGCCAGTAGGCTTCAACCTGGGACTTCTGCCTGCATTGATGGGAGAGTCTGGCTGACACATTTCCCCCACTTGGCCTCAGAGCCTGCTAACGAGCGAAGTCAACACAGAAGTTCGTAGCACAAGAGACGGAGAAAGGGAGAGAGAGGCAGAAGGGGTCCTTGGCCTGCGTCCGACTCCCCACCATTTCGGCACCGGAAGCCGGTCCTTTGTGTGAGGAGGGGTTTCTGTTCATGTGTAACACGAAGCCACCCACAGGTGAATGGCACAATCACAATGTGCCCACCATGCACGGCACGTCCCTCGGCCGCGAGCAGGAGCGAGGCGCCCACCCCCGCTGCCCCGTGGACGGACCCCGAACACACGACGCTCAGGGAGGGAACCCGACACGAGAGGCCACGCGGGGTGTGAGTCCGCGTGTGTGAAACGTCCGGAACGGGCTCATCCATGGACGGGAAGGGGGCTCGTGAGGGGGAGGTGACTGCTAATGGGGGTGGAGTTTCCTCTTGTGCTCATGGAATGTTCTGGAACTAGATGGAAGTGGTGGTTGCATAACATTATGAATGCACTCAACGCCACTGAGTTGTACACTTTAAGTTTATTATTTATTTTATTTTAAGAGAGAGAAACAGAATCCCAAGCAGGCTCCCCACTGTCAGCACAAAGCCCGGCCACATGGGGCTTGATCTCAAGAACCACGAGATCACGACCTGAGCTGAAGTCTAGAGTCAGACAGCCGACTGAGCCACGCGGGTGGCCCTGAGTTATGCACTTTAAAGTGGTTAACGGGGTGGGGAAAAAATACAAAAAATAAAATAAAATAAATAAAATGGTTAATGCTGCGGCGCCTGGGTGGGTCAGTTGGTTGAGCGCCCGACTTCAGCTCAGGCCATGATCTCACGGTGTGAGGGTTCGAGCCCCGCGTCGGACTCTGGGCTGACGGCTCCGAAGCCTGGAGCCTGCTTCCGATTCTGTGTCTCCCTCTCTCTCAGCCCCTCCCCTGCTCACACACACACTCTCTCTCAAAAATAAACATGAAAAATTTTTAAAATGGTTAATTGCATGTTATGTAAATTTCATGTCCATGCTACTACCAAAAGGGCAAAAACCGCAGGATGTTCATATCCAGTGTTTTCTGTCTCCCTTCTGCCAGTTCCTCTCCCACCCACAGCCCCTTCCTCCCAGGTTCTCCCAGGGCTCTTCAGCTCCCGCCCCTCTTGTACACGAGAGTTTCTCCTCCCACGTCAGGCCACACCAAGGCATGCGGCCTCCCGACCTCCCTCGGCCCGAACAGCCAGCTTTCCCTCGTCCCTCCCTTGCACTGGCAGCGGGCGGGAGGCGGGCCTTCACACGCAGGCGCAGAAATGCATCCAGGCACATGGTTGAGGGAAAAGGCAAGGGCACATTGATGGTTTCCTTCTTCGCTGGGGAAACCCGAGTGCCGGTGCCCCCGCGACCTCCCCAGGAAGGCGGCCGCTCTGCCAGTTTGCAACTTGTCACAAGTAGATGGCATCCACGTTACACCTTTGGAATCGACAGTAAGTGGCTCGGCAGGGACAGCTTGCAGGGTGCCCGGGGGCCGCTCTGGTCCCAGGGGCGCCCGCAGCGCAGGGGGGTCCTGAGCGGGGCTGCGATCTGCCTGGGAGGCACCCCCCAACCCCCTGTCCTCTCTCCTGACGGACATGACATGACGTGGGCGCCAGCCGAGGGACAGTGACAGCGATGGCGGTGGGCAGGGTGCTGCATGGGCACCGGAAGCCACCCCTCCCCCACAATGTTGCTTTTCATCTTCACTGTTTGCTTCCCCGATTCCAATAAAATTAAGCATCAGGCCCGTGAATACTTCAGTTTCTCTAAAGCAGGGTCTCTCCCGGGCACTGGGGACTTAGGGGCATCCGGGTACCTGGGGACGGAGCAGCACCCTGGCCCCACCCCCTTGATGCAGGATCGCCCCCACCCATCCCCCTCCCACGTGACAG